ATCCAAGTTGAATTATATACATGTAACACACAATTATAAAATACACGTTCATTTTAGTTTTCACTAACAGTGTAAAGTCTATAATACATCAAACATCAATAACTGATTGGTACTGGCACTGTCAACAATTCCAAGATCAAGCTAGTAAGCCAATTTGTGGGTTCGTGAAACGACCCGAGAAACACAGCCAATCGAGAGGATGTAAACATCAAGCATTCAACTTGAGATTCGATTCACGAAAATAAATCAAAAGGAATCAAAGCACACTATTGAAAAAGAATTACGATGCACTATATCAGAAATAAAACACACATGGCAAGGTATGGCAATTGTCAATAATTCAAAATCCCATATGTTATCCGTCACATTATTGTGATCTATGACATGTGAACCTTCGGGTACTATCAATATCCAACAGAAAGCCATGATCAATATATACCATGATAATGATTTTCACTCGATTTATGGATTAGGGAAAGTCAATGATATTTTGAGTGTATTAAAGGCAGCTTATAGCTTACCAAACAAGATATAATTCCCCAAGCAAAGTAATATACGCCAACACCGACAAAACTTATACGCAAGCCTGCTGATCAAGGTATCAGGTCTGGACATAATTTGTTAGAAACAAACGTGTTGTGTAAAGCAAAAGTCAACTTTGAGAATTTTAATTCCTTCAAAAAATATCTCAAACTAGGAATTTTACTTTCTTCTCCTATATGTGTTTTTTTTTTATATATGATAGAATCTCCTTTTGAACGCGTATATTTCTGAACGCGCATGGATTGGAAAGATTAAATTTCTACTGTAAGGTGTGAACACTTTTACCGATTAGCTTAGCAAAAAAATTTCAAAATCAGTTGTCACATGGGCACTGTTGCTGTTTCGCCCCCTCCCTTTCACGTAGAGCTATCGATTTGAAAATTGGCAGAGAGGTACTTATATGTGTCCTGAATATTAACAGCAAATTTCAGACAATTCCGACCCTCCCTGTCATTTTACATTCGTTACATTCAAGGACGGTTGGCGGAAGATGCAAAGAGGCTGACCTAGAAATGAAACGGTGTATGCGAAGATCGTAATGTTTGTTTTTACTGTAGTTGTATGATAGAAAATGGCATAAAGACTTTTTGAAATTCGTTGCAGATTAAATATTTGACTAGACAAGGCTGGGAAATATTACATCCGGCAACTTATTTTTGAAATTTCATATGTACGGTGGGTTGTTTAGGCCATGTTTAATTTTTTTTTACTTACAATTAATTCTAGTTATTTTCTATTTTTGTTTGCTGAATTATGATTTAATTCTACTAAATGTTTTTAATTAGTAGAATTAAATCTCAATTCAGCAAACAAAAGTGAAAAATCAGTAATTAAATCATACAGAAATCCGTACATATCCGTACATATGAAATAATAACCAATTCAAGAATAAATGATTTTTGTAGGTTATAATTCAATATAACCGGTAGTAAAAAATTAACACAAAATAAACACCGAATGAATAATTAATCAGATTATGTGTATCATTTAAAGCTATTATTAAATGTTTGTATCCCGATAACGACTTTATTAATTGCTTTTGATAACGCTGTTATGAAACACTATCAAATATTTATTGCTATTTTGATGAAAATCATTGTTGTTACGTTTTTAGGGCAACACAGAAAGGCCAATTAGCAGGATAACTGATCAAAACCATCCTGCATCAAAATAGGTTTTATAATGGATCACATCAAGATACGGTCACTTAGACATCCGGTTGGTGACACAAGAAACTTTCTTATGTTTTCATCTTTTGTCTTGGGCATAATACCTACATACCATTGCTACAAATCGTACAGTTGGTTGAATTATAATAGAACAATTGAATTTTCACTATTCGACATCACAGGAGTTAACAAGGGGGGTATTAGTCTCAATTTCAGTTTTGATCCTGCACCCCACAGATTTAAACCCTTTCTCATGTCATTTCATTTCATTTACTGTAATCAGTTACACTTAATATCATTATTTTCAGCAAAAACTCTTCTTAAAATATATTATGTATACCCACATATTCATACGTAGTTTTTGATGTAAACAATCGATTTGGACAATGTTTTCATGTTTCATGTAAGGTTCGATTGTTTTATTATCAAGATTCATTTCCTTTTCTCATTGCCGGTCAAACAGATAGTGAGATATTCCCGGTGGGGAATGCGGGTCATTATATACCATGTATTTCAATGTTCACAAAGTAATTAGACATCCTAAATTGTACATGTCATGATATTTCATTGATGACTAGTACTTTATCATAATAAATAATACTATTGGAGATTGGTCGGGGTCGACAACCACAGAGGTTGAGAATAGAAACCTTACAAATATTTGAGCGTGTACTTCAATTGACGATTGTTTTGTTAAAGGGCTGTACAGGTGAGCCATGTTGGGGGTGGGGGGGATTTGAGTCGTGAATATATGTAACTCTTCAGAACTACTAAAAATGTTAGAAAAAAATACTTCAAACTAGTACTCACTCTTATTATATCTGTCTTTTCTGTATTTGAAGGCTAAAACTTTGACGGTGACCTTTGAACTCTATTACGGATTAGATTACCTTAACCAAGAACCGTTTCTGTGACTGAAGTAAGATTGGTAATAAAAAAACCCGTCGCTTTGTTACTTTCAGGTACTATCAAGCTTCCATAAATGGTTACATTCTGTCAAAATCGAAAACTTCCCATAAAACTGTACGACTGAACGGTAAATGAAATATTTTTCGGAGATTTTTATCGTTTCAGATTTACTTTAACATCTTATTTTCGTATCCTGAGCAAATGCAAATAAATCTTGAAATAACATTGACATAAAACATGTGAGAAATTAATTACAGTTACTTCCCTTTGGTTGGATAGGGCAAACTTTAATATACTTCTATGACAAGGATTCGTTGTTTTAAGCGCCGACGTTAGGTTTTGGGCTTGATTTACAAGGGCCTGTAGCCATACCTAATTGGGTATTGGATCTACGTCTAAAAGTATTTTCTTAAAACAGAATATGAAGTGAATGCATAGAGGCATCAGAAGCCCTTTTATTTACTTAACTTATCTGTGTTTTCAACTTAGTGGTGAGGATTGAAGTGTTGCTTTATGTCTTTTATCTATGAACAGAATAAAGTAATTACACTGATATTGATCAATCAAAAATATTCATTATGGCAGGCCAGGCATGTAGGTTTATAAATTGTTAATTTGTTACTTCAATCAGATTAATTCATGCATTAACCCTGTGATTAAATAGCGAACGAAGGGATATAATTTAATTGATTACTTTCAAGACATAATTTTCCTGAAAAACTATTATTAATTATTAGACGGCAACTATATAATCTATCCCCACTGATGCATTGATAATCTATTTACTGTCATCAACAACAAAGGACAAAACATAACAAGCATGGTGAATGATCCACAGTCTAACATATAGATATAATAAATATATAAAACCAAGTACTAACGATCAAAACAACAAAACGAAATGCGGAACAATCATTGACGAAACATTGGGAGCAGCTAATGCACTTTTTACATGAGGAAGTCTATCAATCATTAAGATGTAATTTATAATGGATTCTAAACAACCTGGGAAACAACAACGCGTTGTTAAAGTATGACAACAAAATGCCGTACCATCTTAAATGTACAACACACGAAAGGTTTTCAAGGTGAGTTCTATTTAGTTGCTGTTTTGAGGTATGATCTGTGGCAAGACAATAATAACCAACATTAAAATTAAATACTTGTCCTAGATCTATTATCTTGGCCAGCAGGTAGTACAGTAACGGCCTGTTATAACTGCTAAACCTGGTGATAAGTCAGAACTTGGTATTAACGGATGCAGTGTACTGGGAAATACTCGTCTCTATTTGTATTGTGCAATTTATTCTACGTTATGTGAGGTGTTACGACCGGTGGCTCAACTTGATGAGTGGGTGACCGTTGACTTAAGTGGGTTTTTAACATATTTTTTTTATTCATTTACGTCTCACCAATTTGTACAATATTAAAACAAAATACATATTCAAAAAGAATTGCACAAATAGCCATTCTGTAAAAGAATTATGAGAGAGGTTCAAATATCACAATATAACAGTAATTAAAATTCTGAGACTTTAAGTCAATTTAATATCTGTTAATGATTTCCAGTCTGAAGTTAATGCTATGTACCGTTTAAGATATTTACTTTGGTACATTTTTTTTAAATTTTGTATTTTGTTTATGGGGGTTGGGTCCGTGAACTTGGTTCAACCATTCCTATGGTAGTTGAATCACTAGTAACGACTAGTGGGCTGAAATCAGAAGTCAAGAATACCAAATTCTAGAAGATACCGTCAGGTTGGTGAACCAGTCCCCTCCTTATAAATACTACCCCACCCTGTCTGCGGTGTAAGGGTAGAGATTCTGTTGCTTATGAGAGTGGAGTATAAACATTACCTTTTATGCTTAGAAACACTTGCACGAATTCCGCTAACGCAATGAAAAGCACTTCGGCGTACTAATGATAAAAGTCTTCTTGAACTAGCTTGATGATTGTGCATTTGTAAATGTTTAAAAAATTAAAGTCATTGTGTCTCAATGTCAATGTGTACCAAAGCGGCCAGTTTTTTTAGTCGTGTCATGCGTAATTTTGTGAGATAGAGTTCGCAAATATGCGGACAAATTTTCGTGCGAAGTACTGAAATGACACGCCTTGCCACGACCCCTGCGCGCCATTGAGGTGTTAAAATTAGAGAATGTGTTAGTGTGACAAAGGGAAGGATTAACTACACATTTGGAAGTTGTATATCTTCCGCAATAGCAATTCCCACAAATTCGTTTGGAAGTTAGTGCAATTTGAGTTGGAGCTCCACCCCTAGAAAAAGGAGAAGAGCATTAAAAAACATTCCTGTTGAGGGGGACTTAACCCCAAGGGACACTCCCATCTAGTTGAGCCACTGGATACAGCCTTTTAAAGTACTATTTGTTGTTTAAAAAAACTGCAGTGTCGGGTCGTCCTGTAGAGTTTGCTGCGAGCTCAGTATTTTCCTGTGTAAATATATTACATTGATAATAATCAGACACCAATTTAACACTGAAGATATGACACATTGGTAACACATAACATTTCATAGCACATTGACCATATCCTTGTACATTGTACGTCATATCCGGCGTGGAAGATACTTCTGCATCTTCTAATCGACTGTATGACGAATTGATACTGACGATTCGTGTTCCAAATACTCGAACCTAAAATATCAATAAGTGAAGAAACGATCATTATCTGGAAAATGGTTTAATGGTTTAAGAATTGAAGAAGAGGTGAGTTGAGATGTGGAAATGGGCGAAATGGGAATAATTTAGGGCAAAATGGAACGAATGGGACACTATACTATACAAATAAACCTTCCTGCGAACATACCATGAAAATGATTCGGATACCCGAAATTTGGCATTATCAGCCAAAGACCATATATATAAACTCACCTCACATAATATTAGCATTTCCTTAACGCCCGGTTGACCATTGATAATAATTCTAACATAGCGACCTTTTATTATCTGTTTACAATTATACAGTACAGTTTTTCCTCTGGTTCCTTTACCCTCATGATAGTAACAAAGTTCGGCATCAGAAATAGACTCCCCATCTTTATAGATCTCAATAGAAAAATCGTGAGCCAATTGAGGGCCGTCTGCAAGATAAGATGGAATCATAGAGATTTTTAGATTAAGGTCAATAATAATTTCCATTGAATATATCTATTGTGTGAAAACAAAACTATGATACAGTAAAGCGTGGAATACACCCGCGTAATAGCCAACTCTAAATAAATGGCTGTTAAGGCGGTGATACATAAAACCCGACACACTACGACACGACAGAAACAGAAACAATATAAATTGCATACACTATACATACTGGATACGATACGACACGACCGGACGTTATAAATTGTTATATTGTTTCTATGTTGTCGAGCCGTCTGTGCCTTGTCGGAATGTCTTTGCGTTAATAAAAATACACACATTATGTCTTCAAAATTTAGACATTCTTAGACGTTCAGTACTGCTTTTCCAATTCTCATTAAAATTATGGACCAAATTCCAAAAAACATTTTGCTTTGCTCAGACAATTATAGAATTGGGAAGAGTACATTTAAAAAAAATATTATTAATTACGCCTGTCAATATGTGTTATAGACACAGCATAGATGAAGTAGTCCTGCAGAATATCAACTTCCCACCAAGGTGAAGATATGGTTGGTTCGGCACTGAGTCCTGCCGTATGCGAACAACTGGTTTGACTTGGCAATAATCCATCGATACCATCAGTCGCTCTGGATGCTACATTTTCTAGATAAGTGGTAACTTGGTTAGCTGATTTGTTAAGCGCCACATTTACTAAACTGCAATCTGAAAAAAAAAAGTTTAAGAATCAAGAATATGATTATTGAATACACAAATATAAATATAATCTTAAAGAAGAACCTATAATTTGTCATTCAGAGTTATACTGTTGGAGAAAATGAACTATTCACAACATACATCATTTATCATATATCAGTGCATTTGATTGGATTGTACGCTGGTGTACTGCCAATAAGAGCCTTCCACAGTAAGTCTGATGTTAACAATGTTTCGGTCGAGAGCTGTAATAGGCTGTATTCTCTAGTGTACAGTCCAGTCAAACCGCTGCATGTACAATTCCCATGATACAAGAAAAGTGGTTAATGATTTCAAGGTATTAGACACAGTTCGTAATAGCTAGATATTGTGAAGATGATCATACACAAGAGGATAGGGATATATTCAATGAAAACATTCCTTCCATGTATTTCTAGCACAGGCAATTTTTTAACTATGTAAATTGATACAAAACTGAACACATTCCCTACGGAGTCGGTAATTTTCAGATTATTAATGTCCTTGTGGTTCTCTTTCAGACGATATATGACTAAAGTTACAACTTTTAATGTATTTATCCCTCAGTAATGTAATAATGTATCGTATTTCAAAGGGACAAATGTGCCATTTTGGGAGGTTGATTTGAGTCTTCAATATAATAAATAGCCTTCAGAATTACTAGAAATGTAAGAAAATCGCACAATTCCATAAAAATATATCAAACTAGGTATTTTACTCACTATTTCTATATATATATTTTCTATATATAGAGTATCTTAAATTGACGAGTCGACATTACAACATTCAAACGCGGATAATTCTGAACACAAGTGGCTAAAATTTCGACGATGAGCCGTCTACACTATTACTGATTGGCTTAGGTAAAAAAAATTCCCGTTTCTGTGACTAAAGTATTATTGGTCAAAAAGAATGGCGCGCCTGTACCTTTAACGATTTATGTTATATACATAAAGATAGCTTTATACAATATTTATATTAAGGTGTTAATAGGGTTATGCGACATTGATAAATAAGATGTATAAAACTGTTAGTTTGAACATTTCACACCTGGTTTTGAAATCAGTGAGTAAGAAATCTAATAAATCTGATTATATAATTTTAATTATCTATTCAAACATAAATCCATTTAGAACTGATTTTGCAAATAATTTAACTTTCGAAAATTGTGTCGAATGTACTAATTCTACAAACTTCTTATAAAGATAGTAATAGTTTGAAAAACGTGGCTGCAAATTAGAGAATAGGCAAGGATTTAACTGCTAAGGCTTGCCTACTCTAACGACAATTATTTCCAACACCTGTTCTGAATTAAAAGGTACTAACTATTATCTCTGTTTGATGAAATTTTTTTTTTACAATAACGGAGAATCGTTTAAATTTTCTGGACTTGGCTTGTATTATTTATATGATTACGTAAAGTGTAATGGTAAATAAACATATATTAAGAATTCGATTTTTCAAGTTTAAGTGATTGTCGCTTTTCCCACAAAGTAATTTTTATACGCCCACATGAAATGGAGGGTATATATTGCCGTCACCCATGTCCGTCCGTCCGTCGGTCCGTCGGTCCGTTCACAATTGCTCGTAAACACTCTACAAGACAAAATTATTGACGGATTTTGACAAAACTTGGAATGAGTGTTCGTAATCACCCAAGGATGAACCCTATTGAAAATCAGAAGAATCGAAAAATATTAAGTACAAGTTATTGCCCTTGTATTTAGTATGAGCTATCTTATTTTATAAAATGATTCATGGTTTAACACCTCAATATCTGAGCATCTTGGTACCACCCAAAATTTCATCTGTAAACCCATACCGCATCAGAAGTAATCACCTTTTTCGAACTATTCCTTGGCATACAGTACAGTACAAATTATCTTTTCTTCCATCTACTGTACAAAGCTGGAATAATCTACCAGACTCTATACGTAATTGTTCATCCCTGTCTCAGCTAAAATCCACACTTGTAAAATTTATATCGAAATCGTCCGTACCAACATATTTTTACTCTGGCGACCGTGGACTACAAATAATCCATACCAAATTATGACACCATAAAAGTCTTCTAAATGCTCACAAATCTCTTAATGTATATATCTGAAAACCCTTCATGCGGTCATACTTTCAAAAATTCTGAACACTTTCTTCTCTATTGTCGTAGTTTCACAAACCAACGAAATAATACTATTAATCTTCTTCCTATTCAGTAACGTTCTATAATAACACTTCTTAACGGCGATCCTGCATTATCCTTAGATATGAATTTGTACATTTTTCAAACTGTTCAAAATTTTATATCATCGACAAAACGTTTTGATATGTAATAGCTCACGATGTCAAGGTATGGCCTCCGTTTCGAACTAGGTTTACACTCGGTTTAACAACGGAGATTATACTTTGACATCGTGAAAATGCATAACGATAGACATCCTCATCCCCTCATTATTTTCAACCTATCAATTCTGAATTCCTTGTTTTAATCACCAACAAACTTATTCGGTCCCTCACATATACCCCTTTCTGTAAATAGTTCTGTTATATTTTGCTTTCCATGTAAATGTATATCAAATAACGCTGCTTTCATTGCTCTTCTTTTCTTAAACAAATTCGTGTACATCTACAATCCAGACAGACTCATAATAGAAACGTCTGGTGGCAACTAGACATATTGTAATAACAACATGAAACGTTTGTAGTTACATGTTTACAATGTTGTTCTAACTTGTTAGTTAAACAAAACATAAAAGAAACGGACATGTTTCATTTCTCATGATAACGACCGTAAAGTTTCGTAATATCCAGCAATAACCATTGAATATCATTAATGGTGCCACTGAGAAAGCTTGTTTTTAAAGTTCAAACAAGAATCATGACAAAAAATCTAAAAATTCTGCATCCCTAAAATTGAACTCTTAAAGTGAACACACATTTTGTAACGTAAAAGTCTATATATTTATTTGTATTTTAGGTCTCTGTCCAAAACTTTTATCATTCTTTTAAGTTAAGATTCCATATACGCGTCATGCGGACATAAATGGCCCTTGCGGATCCGTCATGCGTCAAATATGATTCCATATGTGCGTTATACGTATGCGTTATCTTTCTTTTGACGCACGGACTTCGGTGCATAAAAAAGACAGGGAATCTCCACAAAATACGGCACGTCCCGAGATCTTCGCGTGGAAAAACGTCCGGATGCGTCCAAAATCGCTACACCCGGCGATTTTTTTTTTTACGCATGTCGGAGACCATTTGACGGATACCGCTTCCGCATATATGGAATCATACCCTCTTAAACCAACCATTTCGATTTTTAACGCATGACGGATGACGAATCCGCATGACGCGTATATGGAATCTTAGCTTAAATGTTTTATAGTGTCTCGTAAGTCGTTACCGCCCGGCATCGTATTTTTTCTGTTTTTATGTATCTGTGTAATGTATTTTTGTAAAGATGGTGACAATGAATAAAATATTTTATTATTATTATTGTTAACGTTTCTCGAAAATCAGAAAAAGTTTGTGCTCAGTGTGTAACTATCATTTTGTAATTGAATATGAATTATAACCGACAGAAAAACACGATGATTAAGATTTGTATTATAATCAAATTGGACTGTTTAATATGATCAAATAAGAGAATAATTTACTTACTGTATACATCTAGCAACAAACATATCAAATACAAGCACTTCCATTTTAACATCTTATCGATACACTGACAAATGATAAAAAGAGATGACATCGAGATATGATACAATAGAGACACTGCTTGCCAGGCAATGTAACATACGCTCACAGTATTCGAAGTCATCTATTAAAGATATTCACCCTATTAAGATGACCAAAAATTGAAATTTTTAACTTGGAAAAATGAGTTTTGTCCATTACTGGACTTATCTGGTTTCAAAACTAAACGACAGAATCCCTTTATTCAACTTTTCAGCCAACCTTTGTCCTTATATACGACTATAACCGCCATAGGATAACAGTTTATTGCTTATATTTGCGTTTTCAAGACATTCTAATTTTGATATAAAGACTTTAGTATGAATTTAAGTAGGGCCTAGTTCTTTTCGTTTCAACGTTTGGGACTACCAACATGATTTTTACATTAAAGACCGTCTATTTGATACAATGGCGTCAATGACCAATATTACTACGCCTTATGTTTTGGTGATGAGGCAATGGCTTTTTTTGTGATATAAAAGCCACACAAATGTGCATCATCCCAATGGACATAACGAGAGTTAATGTAAATATTGTGATAAAAACGCTACATAAATTTGCTTCAGTAAAATTGACATAACAATAGCTAATGTAAATATAATCCAATAAATTTATAAAACTGTGATGATTCGTAACGCTAAGTAATCTGAAACATACGTAGAAGCGTGTTTAATGATTATTCAGTTTATTCGATATATCGTCTTACATTGTATTCTTTAGTCATGACACCTAGTAAATCCAAGTGATATACTTTTATTGACCAAGTTTCACACTTTTAGATTTTATCTCTATTTTAAGAGGTAGTATTCCTTTAATATCGACAACCTCGTGATGTCCTAACATCGAGTTTCTGGCACATTTATACGCGTTT